TAATTTTAAATATCAATCTTCCCAAGTTGCTCTAACATATTTCCATTCACTGAGCAAAAATTTCTCTGTAAATAAATGCCATGTCTGTAACAAATGTTGACCTAATTAAACACTTTTACGTCTGATATCCGTGATCCTCAAAGACAGATGATTTAGATTTGCTATGTCTTTCTAAAAAAGGAGTTATCTCTGTTTTAGCCTCTCAGACATTGTCTTTTCAGACAAAAGCACTGGAAAAACCTAACTAGCCTCTTGTCACACTGGTCTTTAACAGAGACAGAGACCTGGTCCAAATCTTATCTAGGGCACAAGATCAAAATGCAGCCTCTAGAAGAGTGCTGAGGTGTTCACCACCTGGGTCAGGCAATTGGAGTGGGATCAGTGTCAAGACATAAGTAAATGAGAAGGTAGGAAAGGAGAACTATGAGCATTAAGCCAAGAAACCTACAATGCACTTCTTACAAAGCGCTGTAAAATTCACATTTATTTTGTAAGTATGAGATAGATGGGTTATTTCTACATACAGAGGTGCCCAACTAAAATCAAGATAAGTGATATTAATGTCCTATGGTCAGTATTATTGAACCTCGAAAGCAATAAACTAAGAGTCGATAAATATTACATTTGCAACATAGTTAACATTCTTCTACTGTCTCTGGCACTTATTACACATTGTAACCGCAAGTCTACAATACATTATTCATATTTGGGGTGTCACTGAGTGATGGATTGCTGTAAGAGAGGCTGTCCTTTAAATAAATCAACAAATAAAAATGCAAATGTTAACATTTTCAGCCACAACTTTTTCCATCTTGAATGGGGAATGAAAATTTCACATTATATCGACAGCCAGCAGAGAGAACAATTAACAACCTACACTGTGAATAAGAGAGATTAATTTGCCAATGTCTGGTTTTATCACTTGCATATGGAACTACATTGGACTTTTTGAGCTGCTGGCTGTCTCAGAGAGTAGGCAAAATTTGCGTTTCCTACCATGTTCAGAAACTAACTCACCACCCCACTCCAAACACACTTTTAATCTCTTTAAAAGTTCCAGAGTTAAATCTGGAATTAAAGTTTCCTGCTTGCTTTGAATCTTGAATGGTGTCTGATCCTAAGGGGGAAAAAATAATTCTATTTCTTTGTCAGTGCTTGCTTGGAGTCTACAGCAGAAGGAACCTCATAGATCATCTTAAGTCAATATCCATATTTAAGCATCCAATATGCACAGATCTGAAAAGCAACTACCACCTAAGTAAGGCAAAAGCTTAAATCTCATCACTGTCATATTTCCTAACACTCAGCATAACAGATCTACTCTAGACTATTCCAGTGTGCATTATTAAGTATACAACTCTGCACATTATATTTTACATCAGATATTAATTTGCTTAAAAGTCCCTGAATACACATTCACCTGAGATGTGCTGGGCAACTGGGTAAATAGTTTTGTTTTTAAAATGTCCCTAAACACAAATTTACACAATACAATCTGTTTATGAAAACTCCAACAGGCCACTGTAGTCTAACAGATAATAATACAGCTCAAATATAGCATTTGTATTGCAAGAACTTCTAAATCACTTATTTTAATGGCTACAAGAAACTTCACTCAAAGACAATGCATTCAGCAAGCATTAAAGCTTTGATTTGAAACTGCAACAACCAAACACATGCTTAATGCTGAAATCCCAGACTATCACTCAATCCCTTAATTTACCTAACTGTTCTTAAACTCCCTTCTTTGATGTCCAGAGTGAAAAATGCTACAGGAGAATTATCTGTTTCCATGGTGAGCAGAACAACCTTTGCCTGTGTCTTTTTAAGTGCTTGATTATCTGCAGCGTTATAGGACTTATTCTGCCAAACTCAACACTACAACGGTTTCTGCGTGGGGAGAGCCTGACAATTGCAACAGGGCTGTAATCAAATTAAATGGTCTTTCAGAATGTACAATTTGTAATTTATTTTTTTTCAAACGTAGCTGAATACTTAAATTTAGAACGGCTTCGCTTCTGTGTGCAACACAACACTTGTTTTGCTGAAACCACCACCTGATTATAGCTAAGATAAGATCTAGTTTATGTAAAAACTTCTTCATTACTAAATGAAAGCATCAATATGCCACTGCTTCCCCTTTCCATTGTCCCTCCAGCTCAAAAGCAAAAATCGAGAGTCTTTCTTCTAGGTAAACAGCAGTTATGAGAAAGATGTTCCTGGTCACCAAAAAGGGAATGTTTAAGACAATCAGAATAACTATGCTTTAGGGGTAAGGAACAAACTTACTCTTCCAAACTTGCCCAGCCCTAACCTCACCTGTGATTTTTTTTTTTCCCAAATGTATTGGCTTTGGTCTAGATAAATAAGCACATGGAGTAGAAAAGCTTTCCAGACCTGCTGCGAACATAATTTCAAGGGCTCCACACAGGTGTAGACACTTGGATTAAGAACATTGAGCAGCCAAACTTTCAGCTTGGCTCTATTAGGGAAGGCAGTGACAGGCAGACATAGAAGCATGATGGGCAGGTAAATTCACTATTAGCCCATTTCTGGATGCCACATAAAGAAAGGTTGGGTTTCTTTTTTCTTTCAGAGACATCACTGAAATCACCTTGTGCACATTCATTTTTCAAGTCTGGTCCTTCTACAGGTCTAGCACTAGGGCTCTCAAGGTTCACATTTACTGTCTAGGGATACTTATTTCTTGCTGCAGACATGATTCATCCCGAGACAGAGAAGAATGTAGGACTGCAGCAGTTCTTCTTCAAGCAGGAGGTAGCTGTAACACACTGAAGCCTCCAGCTGAGCCCTGCCAAGACAGGCTATCACGCCAGCACATCTTCTACCTGCCATGCCTGCTTATCCAGCCAGCCCTTCCCAGAAGCTGTGCTAGCACCCTGATGCCTCACACTGCCAGGGAGCTTCTGTCGCTTTCCAACACCTTCTCCCTGGCAGGCTTTCCATTGCTGCTGCTGCCTGGTGCCAGGGTTTGTGCTAGTTAAAGCTGGCACAAACATGAGTTGAATCTAGTCCTATAAATTTAAATAGTCAAAAGTAATTAGGTTTACATGTACTGCTGAATAAATAAATTTGCTCTTAGGCTAGGGCTTTGTGTTGCAAGTTTCAGATCCATGCCAACTGTTGTGGTTAAGCTGTTAACCCCCCCAAATCACAGATCATAATGAACATGCTGACAAACCCTAACTTCAGTGGCACAAAAGCAGCAATAATTCTCAATATTGATTAATTTAGTTAGTTAAACCTGCAGTCTAAGCTTATAACCATTCCGTGATAAATTGAGACTAACCTGCTGCCCAAGCAGGTTTTTTGATGAAGGATAGAATCAGCTTTAGGTCTCCCCAGAAATACTTGTCCATTTACCATTTTCAATTAGAGAAGGCCATGAGTAAGGGAAAGCACAACATGGCTGCTTATGGTCAATTATAGCTACAGCACCAATGGAGGGAAAGCAAGTGAGGAAGTATGGGAGCAAGCACTCCAGAAATACAGGATTTTTCAAAATTTGTCATCAACTGGTAAAATAATCCTTTAAGGATGACAGCTAATCAGACTCCTTTTACTGATCACTTTACCTGGTATGATTTCTAACAGCATATTTCAACAAATATTTTACTCCCCTCTGTGGAAAAGAATAGATCATCAATCCTCTTGAATAAAATTCCTTTTTCTAAGCAGTTGTCGTATGATGTGAATAATTATATCTACTTCTCAGTACTTGAATGGAATCTCAACTTAGCACTATTAGACAGCATCAAGCACTATCTTTACACACACTTTATCTGTTACGACTGGCTTGCAAAGGTAACCCTTGCTTTTAAGAGAAATGCTTAGGCAATCTTGTGGTTTCTGTTAGTTTAAACATATAGCTACTTGTGGGAAACACAGCCTAATCCAACTCAGTTTTTAAATCTTCCCAGAATTATCAATCCTCCCATCAGAAGAAAAAAAAAAAAAAAAAGTGTTTCCATAGCAAGTAAGTACAATTTTGTCAATATTGATAGTGGTTTTTCACCTGTTATATATCGCAAGTTCTCTCAGAAGATAGAAATAAACTGCCAGCTGCTGCCAAGAATACAGGGATGATATCAAGCATGCATTTTCCTAGTCCACTGGGCCAAGAGAAGATTAAATCTGACTCTAGCCCTCTCATCCTCCAAGAAACATTTAACTCTTCTTATGAACAGCTGCACATTCTTGTTATGCCACTGCACAGTTACCTAACTAGTGGTGTAAAATACTGCAAATTCATATTTCAATCTGCATTTATTTTGTTGCTTAACTGAAGGTTTTATTATGAGAAAACATGGGATATGACAAAGAAAAGCAGGGATTGTGTGCTGTTCTTCTAGGCATTTACCACTAGAGATGTAATCCTGCCTAAAGAAGGCAAGTTGTTTTCAGACTCGTAAGCGTAACAACAATGCTGCTTTCAGTTTTTTCATTGGAGCAGAAGCTATAATGCTGCTTTTCCAGTGCATTTAGTGCAGATATATAGTATAATCAGGAACTGCTGACTTAATGTGATTTTGTTGCTTGTCATTAAACATAAAATAACTCTCATACAAAACGTTTTAAAAGAAATGCCATTTGATAAAATATGGGACTGGGGGAAGAGGCAGGCAAACACAGAGGGACTAAAATATCCACGTGGATGTAAAACCTAACAGGGTTAACAGTGTCCATTCAAATTATTTACAAAGGCATTTAATGTGTCAGGACTTGAAACACAAAATACTTTCTGTTCAAAATCTAAGTAAAATTAAAATGTTAGAACTTGGCATATTCCTGCTTTTCTTATTCTAAAAAGCAACTTAAGGCTTACTATAAATGTCAAAAGGATATGGCAGGTTTTAGTTTATACCATCCAGCTAGTGCGAACATGAAACATTATAGAAATTCAGCCACTTCCCTACATCTAGGAGAATTTGATGGTTGTGTTTGCAGAATCTTAAACCAGAGATTACCCAGCATCTTACCGCGAAGTGTCATGCTGGATCGGTGATAGGGCTGTGGTTGCAAGCGCTTTGCTGCTGCCCATCAACCCAGGAGATGTGGTTGCATCATTCCTAGGTCCCGAAGTTGTCCCTGTGGAATGAAGTGAAGACAAGCCAGACATCAGAGGCTATTAATTTTGGGATAGATGTCTCATGATTCTGCATTATTACAGAACACTGGGACTGAAAGTTGAAACCTTTCTGGAGTGCCAGACATATACAGAGAAACTGCAATCAGAGAATTCATCAGTGGACAGTACCGTGCACAGCATCCATTTCAGGGCCAGATAGGATCAAATCTGTAGAATAAAGGACACACTACAGCCTCCATCTTACTGCCCAAAGTTTGACAGACTTGCACTGTTATCATTTCTTACAGTCATCCACAGGATTCGGCTTGTTTCACAGATGCAGCTCCCAAGATGTGCTATAAGATGTTATTTCTCCAAGTGTAAGTATAACAGCATTTTGCTTTCAATAAAATAGAACTGATACTCCATTCTTTCTTCTCCTCTCCAAATAGATAGGATTTAGTTACACAAATAGCAGAGAGGTAAAGGCAATATGAAAATTAGGAGTAATCTGATATACTACACAAAAGCCTGTGGGTTTGGGCTTTTTTAATCTAGCCTAATTAGTTCTGTGCAACCAACATCATTTAACTAAACAGTTAGTATAGGAAAAACCACAAGTATCAGCAAAAATTAAAGTCAAACCAGTGTTTAGCTCTTTATGTAATTCTGTCATGACTAAATATTTCTCAGCTCTGTGAACAGCAACATTATCTATCATCCATGCTGAAACATGAAGCAACACAAGGCTGTAATTCCAGCATCAGTGCAAAATTTACAGATGTCCAAGGGATTAAGTTTATTTAAAATACTGCACTGATTTAAGATTTATACAAATACATAAAATTTAGTAAACCCATATGTTTTAAAGTGCACTTCAGGAAGGCTAATAAAAAAATGGGTTCTTACCACTCTGCTATAATGAATTGCGCTTCAGTATCACGCAGTGAAAAAAATCTCACCTAACAAAGAGTTAATTATCAGTGAAGGATCTCTAGCAAATATCATGGGGATATATGCTGATTGTGTGTCCCTGGTAACTTGATAGTGTGCCAATCCATGATGAGAAAAGTGGGTATGAATGTAAAGACTGGAAGCCTCTTGCTTAGACTTTTGGCTTTATGATCAAATAAGAGATATTTAGAAATAATTTCACATGACAGTGGCATGAGGCAGCTGGATTTTAAGAAACTAATACTAAAGTAATAAAAACCTGGTGAACATGGGAGAATTTATTCAGTTCCTAATATGAGAAAAGGCTGGCACACTGTCAACATACTACATTCGTAGCAAACGAGATGTATTTCTGCGAAAAAGAAAATATATGGACTCAGAAGTGGTCAACACAGACTCAGGGGGACTGTTCAAAGTCCCAAGTTTGAAAATATTACCAGGGCTAGAAACAGAAAACAAGAAAAGAAACTAAGTAGAAATATATTGAGGCTGTTAAGCTGCACAGAGAAAAAACAAGGGTAGCAAGAAAACCCAAATAAGTGCATATCTAAACAAAAAAAGTTTAAAAATACATCTCGATAAAAGCATGCAAGTCGATTGAGGGAAAAGAAATGCCAAAGAACAAGTGAATATACAAAGATGATTAAATCAATAATGATCCCAAAAATGTCCAAGCTACTAATAATTTTAAAATGTACTGGGAGAAAAAATAAAAGAAAAGAAAATTGGCAAGTAGAAGATAATGAAGACCCTGTTGATGTATAATACCTGCCTATATAAAGCTGATGAAAAAAAACTATCAGGGGAAAAAAAAAGATACAAAGTCTTTAGTCTGAAGGATATATATTTCAGGGCTAAAGGGAATTAGTTAATGAATTTATGAAGTGACTGGTAATTATTTATGAAAAGTCATAGAGAACTGGGGTGATACAAATGACAGCAAATTAATTAGATTTGCAGGTGTTGGAAGACGGTATGAGACTGGAGACATTGCAGATGATCTAAAGGAGCAAGAAACAGGGAAAAAGAATAGACACATTTACCCTTGGAAAAAAGAAAAAGCTCTTACATCGTGTGATAATTTGACACCAATGGAAAGAACCTTGAGTAGCAAATAATAGTAAAAAACAAACTAGAAATAAGCTTGCAAGGCAAGCTACCCCCAAAGCAATTATAGATGTCTTCTAAATGGTAATGTTAAGAATACTATTTTCAATTTGGCTAACTTGGTACAAGACTGATTTAAAGCAGAGTAAAGAATCATTTGAGACAACTCAAATAGTTGTATATTTCTGTCTGAGAAACAGACAACTAAAACATTACTAAAGTGGGAAAATATAGCAGTCTATATTTTGAAAGTGTAAACACTAAGAATGAAGAAATATGGCACAGGTTGGTTCAAGCAGCAATGGGATGAAAGTAAGCAAAGGGAAATCTAGGTTGATAATCATAAAAGAAATCTTTATGACTTGAATAATAGTAATATTCATAAGACTTAACATTTATATAGTACTTCACATCTTCAAAGCACTTCACTAATATTAACTAATTGCTCTATTCGATTGTAGGGAAGAGTCTTCCCTCAAGGGAAGAAGTGCCAGATCCTGAATCCCTAAGAAGCTATGTTAGAAAAACTACTGAAAAATAAACATTATACAAAAAATCAGCCCCTGGAAAAGTACAGGGCTAAAATGAGCTAAAATAATTTTCCTTCTCTGGCTCTTTCTTTTACATATGGAAAGGAAAGCTGTGCGCTACACAACACCAAGCATACATTATGTCCAACATAGACACAAAGGGAAAAATAGTTCCTTCTTTTGTTCCAATGCAGAAGTATTTCAGGAAGGGGGTAAAGAGGACTACTTTAAACAGAAATGTAGGAAAGTGCCCAGTATTGCAGAGTGCAATGGGTAAATTCTAGTTTAAGTTTCCCATCCCCAAAGAGAATTTTTCCAAAGTAGAAAGGAAAGGAAGCACACATTTCTGTACTCCAGTGCTTTTTAACTAGACAAGTTGTTAGATTTTAGTACATTTTGACATAGCTGATGGTGACACCAATAAAAACAATTTACTGCTAAAAGAATCCAAGACTTCAGGATTGCTTCAACTGCTTAAAGTTTTGCTGGTAAAACTAAAAAAGTTTGACTGCAAGACACAAACACCTGCTAAAGCACAGGAATAAAAATTAAGGAGCAAACAGAAATAGGAGACAAAAATCAACAGTGAGGGAATAAAAACTGATTACTTAAGTTGTTCCAGTAAGTTTCTACCCTGAAAAAAGAGCAGAAGTGACCCTTTCCACTCCATGAGGTGATGGGGCCAGGTTAACAGTGCTCTTCTCCCCATTACTAAACATCTTCAGGGAGAAAGGAAAAGTGAGGTTTTTAGGAAATCACCCTTTCCAAACTCACTATACTCACAGAAGGTAGCAGTCCTGTGGGCAGGAAAGCCTTCCACCATTCCAGGATGGGAACAGTTTCACAGCTAATAATTTTACACCTGATACAAGTGGCTATGTTGCTCTGGAGGGACATTACCATGAGTGTACCATCCCCTTAATACAGTCACCAATCCCAGTGGCATACCAAGATAATATAGTGAGCCCAAAGTCCCATATCAGCACTGCACTAAGGTGTTCTCAGAGAGAGTCATCATCTTGAAGAACATGTAATTCAAGCAGACCAGAACGATCAAGGCATGAAAAAAATAGGTCAACAGGTCAACAACTAACAACTATCACAAAAGTTTCAGTTGAACACGTTTCTGTATACAGTATCCAGCACTGCTGTGTTCTGACTAAAAGGCCACCTTAAGGGGTGTGACTAAATAAACCAACTTTCATGCTTCAAGATGTCACCTTGTTGACTTCATTCCCCTTTCCCACATTGCATTGAAGCAGAAATCCCAGGTCAGCAGCAGATGGGAATATCCAGCAAAAGCAAGGACAGCGTCCAGGCTGTCTAGAATTAAAAATCTTGACACTGGGTCATGATGATTCCCCAAAGATGGAAAAAAAACACTTAACAAGTATGTGTGTATGTTTGCTAAAGGAGTCCAAATCATATAACAGAAGGAAGCCAGTTAGAAAGGTACTAAAATACAGAAGATTTCAACTTCAGTGATTAGTGCCAGGTAATTTGCCTTGTGATAAACAACCATTCAAATCAGTAATAGACCTGAGGTTGTTCCACAGCTTGAAAGCATTCCTCTGAACTTTATCTCGTATCACAGCAAGTGCCAATATTTGTAAGTCAAATTTTGCCACACAGCTCTACATCTTCAAAGCTAGCAAACCCAGTAAGTGTATGCAAAAGATACCCACCATCCTCAGGGATCATGCTGACCGCTACAATCACTAAATCAGCATAGGTGCAGCTCAGCTGCTATGTGAAATAGCCAGACGTAGCTTGTAACTTACTCCTAAGTACTACAGAATGAAATGAATGAATGAAGAAGAGGCCAGGTTGGATTTTTTTTTTCCCCTAGATCTATGGCAAATAAATTACGTTTTGGGGACTATCCCCATCCAAGGAACAAAACCCATCAGCCAGATGTGAAAAGTCTCAATTTCATCACTACAGTACTGAGAAGGAGGGGGGAAGAAGGAAGAGGAAAAGAGAAGGGGGAAAAAAAAAAAGATAGCTGAAAAAAAAACATAAAAGAAAACCATCAGTGAAAATTGCCCCTGAAACTTTGCAGAATTGTAACGGCTTTCTCTTGCTTAAATTGATTGGTGTAGCAATGTTATAAAATGACTATTAGGATTCATTGTGCACAACAGAAAGTGTGAAATGTCAGCAGACTATACAGCAAAAGTAATGGGTCCTGAACCCCTGTTAGTCAAAAATGATTTTGTTTCAAATTAGAAATTGATTTTTTTGGACACAAGCCCTTTACAGGCTTCCAACTTTTGTAGCTGTGCCTTGAAAGAGATTAACCTCAGCCACTGTTTGGGTCCTGGCTGATGATACCCTTTTGAAAGTTTCTTCACAGGGACTGCTTTTTAATGTTGGTACGGTCTTAACCAATAACACAAGTTATTTGTTCCTTTGAGAACTGCACCACATTTCTTCTCATTTTGCCATTTTCTTTATTTTTATGCTGACATATACAGCAAACTGGCTGACAAGTTAAAAAAAAAAAAAAAAAAAAAAAAAAGCTGGTTCATAATTGAACCAAGGATTATGTTCAAGGCTCAGCGGTGAAACATCCAAGCAGCTTTTGTTCCCAACCTTTTCTCTTCCTAAGAAAGACTCTGCTCCTCTGCTCCTTAAGTGGAGGTACTAAGCTAAGGGCAGGATAGGTTCTAGCAATACAGATATCCCTCGTGTGGCAAAATAGCAGGTTGTGATGGAGAAGTCATGACTTGAGGAGGAAAAGAATGCAAAGAGGATTACATTTAAAGAGCAAACCCCACTGCACTTCTGGGAAATAAAATAATAAATCGTTGAAGTAGCTTTTTGAGACTAAAGGGCTATTTTTATCTTTTCATCAGGAACAGCAGCCAAGATCACCACTTGTTATTTAAAATGTTTTTTATTGCTTTAAATGTAGCTACCTTCTCTTAGGTTGTTTTAAACAACCTGCAATCCTCTCCCTCCAATTGTGCATCTTACTGATAACACTCCTGAACACACATACACACAACTTCTAAATGCCACCAATGGCACTCACAGCCCTGCAATGCAGTACTGCTTCTCCTTACCTTTCCTGGACTGGGTGCCTTCCCTCCTGGTCTGCATCAGAAGGGTTTGCCCATCTTCCACGTTTGCACCAAAACCAACCATTTTCTTTCCCGAACTGCTCCCACGACTGCTCCCTGGTGTTCTGGAGTTCTTGCTCACTGGAGGTGTCCTCAGTAAATAATCTTCATGTTTCAACATGGGGACACTGGGAGGAAAGAAAGATCAAGCTATTACATGATGCATTAAGCCCACTAATGCTGCACCCAGCCCTCTACCCTACTTTCACTCTCCAGAAGCATAAACACCATGCTGCTGTTGAGCTCTTGTTGAACCCATTTATCATTTCTGAAAGCAGGATGCCTAAGGCTTGAAGAGTTACCAACCCACTTTATCAGAAGTTTTTGGTTAGCAGCAGCCAGCAGCACTCTGACACATTCCCTAAAGCGTTAGGTCCTGGATTTCCCAAATGGTTAGGACAGAACAAGTCAGATAAAGACATGCAAAGTACTTTCTCCAGAACAATGGACCACAAATGTAAGAAAGAGTAGTTTAAAAAACACTCACTCTGATGGAATCAAGGGGAAACAGAGAAGACTATGTGAAGAGACATCTGAAATTGCAGTTTGCAAAAGGAAAGAAGATCACAGAATCACAGAATCATTCACGTTGGAAAAGACCTTTGAGATCATCGAGTTCAACTGTAAAGCAGCACTGCCAAGGCCACCACTAAACCATGTCCCTAAATGCCACATCTACACATTTTTTAAAGGCCTCCAGGGATGGTGACAAGTTCATTCAAGAAGAAAATGGGTAAGAGGAAGGGAAACAAAGAGGTGAGATGAATGAACAGAGGTACTTTTAAGGAGGATAGAAAATGTGCAAGCAAACTGGTGGGAGAGCATTTGGTGCAGCAAGTGCAGCACTTCAAGTGAAGTAAGAAAAGAGAAAGTTAACCAGAACCATTATAGTTCTATAGGAACTTCAGTACAAGATCATAAACACTGCTTGGATGGAGCCAAGAGGCAAATTTGGTGATAGGGAGGAAACATGACTTCAGTCTCTGCAGACAAAACAATCTCAAGACACTCGGGGCAGACACGAGGCTATGGAGACCCATCTTTCTCTCAGTAAAGACAACCTACTGCTTTCAAATTCTGTTCTCTGGGAAACAACTACTGGTTTAAATGAGGATACCCAACATGTACACATCATCAGTACCCATCATAAAAAGCCCCGTTATAAAAAGAAATTAAAACCATAACAAAGTATCTTCTGCATTGGCTGTCACTGAGTCTGGGATACAGCTTTGTGGAGCTGAATCACATGAATCTTTTGCCTAAAAGCTTACAGGACTGAAGTTATTGTAGATCTGAGGGAAAATCAGAAAATGATAGCTAAATTAAAAGTTTCAAATCAATGTGCTGTATAAGACATTGTTTAATAGGGCCCACTGAGCCTGTTGGACAATTAGTATTACTCCTGTATTATTAATGCAGAACAGTATATAATAGCTTATGACCTGTAATAACTGGCTGAAGTGTTGAATATAACTTCTCTGAATAACCTCCGTTTACTTTAGGGCTTCAAACCATGTGACCACTAATAATACTGCAAAGTGTTTTTAAAATTTACGGTGAACTAAATTAGTATCTTATTTGAATTATATGAAATTATTAACCTACTAATACCTGCAACCCCAAGTAAAGCAAGAGGTGGTTTTAGATCCTGGTAGCTGCTTAAAGAGGTTTCAAGGTCTAATACTTGACCAGATTTCTCTGATAATACAGGACCTGAAATTCCATTTGCCTGCACTTGGATGATTAACAGCACTTAAAAACAGTGAGGTTGTCATTATTTGGATGCTTTCTGAGTTTTTAAAGCACATTTAATTACAACCTACAGTCCTCATGTGAAGACAGTGACCTTTGGCTTGCAGATAAGGGAGGTGATTACCGCAATACCTTTTACATGGTGCAGTTACCTCTAGAATACTGAGTTCTGTTATAAATAATGCAATGACAGAGGCAATTCAAACAGAAACAGACATCATGAAGAAGTTAGAGAAGCTAATTTATGGTAAATAACCAAAATCAAGGGTGTTCACGTTTATAGGCTCAATAAGCAACTAGTTAGAACCTCACTGTTTAGTATTTAATACATAACAGCTCACACTGAAGTTTTGCTCAAGTAAGGACAGAGTGTCACATCTTAAAATGACAATCTGAAAGGTGTGCAGACCAAGAAGGGAAAGGGATAGTGCAGTAATTAACTATATACCACAATTAAACAAAGAAAACATAAGGAAAAAAATCTGTTTCAGAACATATTTACTCATTCACCTGTGGAATAATTAGTAAAATGAATGATGTGACTATTGCAACCTGGAAGTTGAAACTTAACATATGGTCCAAAGGAATCGGTTATTGAGAGAGATTTAGAGACAAAAGAGGTTCTTGTCTATTTTCAAATCCAACAATCCTTCTTATCACTCAAAAGCACCATGGTTGGAAGGACTTCCTGCAGGGCACCACGGTACCCAATGAATTTTCATGCTATTCCCTGAAACTACACAACAGAGAAGACTGTCTAAGTAAAGACCTTATTAACCTACCTAACCTACACACCAAGGCAGGAGTTGTAGTGTCACCAGAAAAGAAGCAAGTCTCAGCATTGCTGTCTCATTATGAATGTCAAAGTACACCACCAACAAAGGGAAACACACCTTGAACGTTCTTTCCTCTTTGCCTGAGCCTCATATCGCGATATCCCTGCCGAGCGTGAATGGCAAATTTTAAATGTCATTCAGGACCCATTGAATACTGCTAGTATTTGCATTCCTTAAAAAGTAGAAAAACATTAACCTTTTGTTTTATTGAATTAAAATGCCATGGAAATGCTGATGTAGTCTTCAGAGACTGAAATACTTTTACAAAGAAGAATAGCTGTCATTTATTAGACACAAAGAACAATTACTTGATAGGATGCTTTCTGACAAAAAGCAGATTGGTATTCTCATCATAGAAAAGGCATTGTAAAAAAACCCAGCACAGACCTCTGAGACTTGAATAATTTAAAGCTGCATTTGGTGCAATTTGAATTTTTCTTTAGGGAGGCAAAGTTAAATACCTTTAATTTGTTCTAATTATTTCAAATTTGCAAGTTAATTATGGCTGATCATTAAATAACAAAAAGGACTATCGTCTCCATAGAGTTTTACCTCCTACCCTCTGCATTACTTAAGCTAGATTTTAGTATGCATGAATTAACTTTCTAAATAATCACACGGTTTGACTAAATGGCTCAGTAAAATGAGCTCTGATCCTCAGAATAAGCATTAATGGACATTAGAAAGGCTATTGGGACCCATGTTACTTACATTATAAGTATTTTTAATGGGGTCTTATTTACTAATCTTTATGTACTGTTCAAGTTAGGGCACCATATAGATACATTATTCTGCTTTAATAGAGGAAAGTCAGTTCTTCAAGATACTAAAATAAATGTCCACTTAGAGCCAACTAAATTCATTTTTAAACTAATGCAAGAAAACTCGGATAGAATATAACTTGTTTTAGCTGCTGATCCTTATGAATCAATCCAACATAATGGCAGCCTTGGTCTGCAAATGGAGTTTTGCAGATCTATTGAATTGCTAAGCAACCCCAGCAGCTCAGGCTCTTGCCAGAGTCCCATTTACTATCAGCATGTGCACGCCCACGAGCTTCCATCTCTTCCCTGCTCCACGCCCAGCGCTCCTCTGACGGGTTCCCAGTCTTCCATCCCAGTTTTGGGTGCTCACCTTTCACTGAACTCTGATCTTTCCACACGTTTTTCAGTGCAGATCAGTGGCATTCACAGAAACAAGACTTCATTATACCTACTCAGAAACCCAAAACGCGAGGCAATTCATGCCTCCAGTACTGTGTGTTCAACAGATGGCTGCCTTAATGGTACCCTACTGCACTCTGCTGAGGCAAGGGCTTGCGAGTTTAACCATTATCAAACTAACAGATTGCCGTAGTAGGTTAGCTCCAAAAGCAAACATGTTGGAATGTTATTTTCCTGTTCCGTAATTTCTGTTTTAAAAATAAAATAATTAACAGTTCATGTGCGCAATCTGCTGCAATTATATCGGGCCAAGAATGCATAACACTTAATGATGCAAAACTGGTGATAAGTAGACAACCCAAGCAATACGTTTTTGTAGCTGGAACCTGAATTGCCATTTTAGATGCAGTTTGACAAACAGGCTGAAAATTGCTTCCTCCCCTGCCACTTTGGCTGGGAGTGTTTTCGGCCAGATCAGCTTCCAGAGTCAACTCAGTACAAAGCTGCAGCATTACAAGCACTGGGACAATGTATCACAAGATCTTCTTTTCTGCGGGGGTCCAAATTTAGATCACTTTACGTCAAGTTATCAAACCACACTTCTGAAAATCACCCGTTCCAAAGCGGGGCTGTTTGGGAAGTCGGCTGTCTGCATGGCAAAGAGAAAAACATCTGCCAGGGAGAAAAGAAGCACCACAGACTTTGGATGAAAGGATCAGAAAACAAATGGCAGTGGTCTACTGAGCAACCACAACTCTTTCAGTCCTCTCAAGTGGAGCTGAGGACAAACACATCAGAGTGGCCAAGCCAGCAGAGCAACACATGGGAAAGAGGAGGGAGATTGGTCTATTTGCTGCTGCTTCACGTAGGGGGTACAAATCTACGGGATGGCTCGGTAGAGCTGGAAGGGAGGTAAGAGGGGTGGAGGTGAGGAGGAGAAGCAGAGTGTGTGACCTTCAGGACAATCTCTCATCTCTGAATGTCATCACCCTTCCTTTCCTTGCCACAAAACCAACCTGCTCTTGTCAGATGATCAACAACCTCAAAAACATATTCTTAAAAATCTCAAGCCTATCTAATTGAAACATAGAGTGCTAGGAAAAAAAATAAATATAAGTTTAACAGTTTCTTCCTCCCTTTAAAAAGCAGGAAAAAATCCTATTCTAATACGGACCTTGAAGACCCTATTCAAGCCTAGAGTGAGATTTCATGGGCCAATTATGAAACCTGGCATTTTGAGGCTTATGTTAGATGCATCAGCATGTTAATGGCACTGCTGGGATCCAGTACATGTTAATAAGAAACAGCTGCTTTCCTTTCTAGAGAGCACGTTCATTTAAAGCTTTGAGGCAACAGAATCATAGAACAGTTTTGGTT